AAGCAGGAGCTGGCACAGCAGGAGCAGGAGGAGGAGCAGGAGCAGGAGCAGGAGGAGCAGAAGGAGCTGGAGGAGCTGGAGGAGCAGGAGGAATAGGAGGGGCTAAACCACCTAGTAAGTAATTAACTCATGACTGGGTTTCACTTCACATGATATATTTATTTTGATCCGTGGCTACAGTATGCAATCACATATATTCATGAGTGGTTTGAAACGGGGAAAATATCTTAGTAAAGAAATAAATCATACTGCACAAATGAAGAATATATTGCATTTTAATTTTCAATGATCATAAACAATTGCTTTATTTACTTTCTTAGTAAATTCGAAGTCATTACTTTATAGATAAGGCGTGTGTTCAAGAGACATTACAGCTACACAACATCTTAAGAGCCAAGCACGGTTCTCCACCATTAAAACTGAATGCAGCGATGACTCAGAGCGCCCAAGCATATGCAAAACAGCTGGCAGCTGCTGGAGGAGACCTCAATCATTCACCGAAAAACCAAAGACCAAACCAGGGGGAGAATTTGGCCAGTTCTTGCTCCAATCCAGGTGATTTCTTTATTTCTTGTCTATTTGAATCCATAAATCTAGAAAAGGATTGTTAAGGCTGGGAAATGACATATATTCATGGAACCTCTGAGCCTGGAACGTCTTTGGTGTTTGCCTCGGCTCCTCAAAAAATATTTAAAGACACTTGTATCGTTAATCACCACCGCAAGTACACTGTAGTGACGCAGCTCAAACTAGGTCGTACTGAAAGCATACAATTCTACACCCATCTAAGGTTATTAAGTTGTGTACCGAGTCGGGGACCGGTTATGTGTAAAATATGTCTGGTGTAAATCCTGGGATTCCAGTAGAAGATCATAGGAAAATCTTTGGGATATGATGAGGGAAAATCTATATTATAATATGCTAACCAGTCCACGTCTGCCCGGAAAAATTCTCTCGGGCACTTCATCACTTTCCAGCCAACTAATACCTATATTGCAAGAGCATGTGTGGTGTGGTGCCTTTTAAATACCTCTGGCTGAGTGATTCGCTCTTCGCTAAACTAGAAGTCAATGTTTGCTTCAAAAGTCACGCTCGGCCAGATCACCCACAGGTAGCCGCCATTAAATATAATGGATGACGTCATAGTCCGAGCGTGTGATCGTGACATATATGACACTCGGCGCGGTGGGGGCGACGGTTATTCGGGAAAGGGCTGGGAATCGGTGGGGATTTGATTTTGAAAAAATTCCCGCTGGGAACAATAGTGAAATTTCAAGGGTTTCTCAATTAATTGATAAATATTATGCCGGACGTTCTGATAATCTTTCTAAAATAAATCACTTCACAAGGAAGATCAAGTAGAATCCGTGAGGAAGAAGATGGGTTACACCATCTCCAAGTTACGGCTGAAGTTTACGCAAACTTTAATAAAATAACTACATGAATATCGCGTTCTCATTGGTCGGGAGCGCATGCATTATGAGAGCACACGGCTTGCGCGCGCACTTTCTATTCAATGAAGGCTTCTCTACTACGAGTCGTGCTTCTCCTACACTTTTCTTGTGCACTGATAATCCCCACGTGCTTTATAACTGCACACAGCAAAAGCGCGCGTTCTCAGCTTCTTCAATATACATTGATGCACATTGATACATTTTTTTTTTTCTGTTGTGACCATATAGCTAAACCCGCCAACTGCAAGGCCATGACTCGGAGATGGTATAATGAAATCAATAAGTATAACTGGAATAACCCAGTCTTTTCAAAAGCAGCAGGACATTTTACTCAGCTTGTGTGGAAGGCAACAACTGAGCTTGGCGTTGGCCTTGTACAGTATATGAAAGGTAGCTATATAATTGTGTTTTGAGTTTAAAGATCAAGGTGGCTAGAAATGATAACAAATCAGTCTACTGGCTAGATATAATAAAAAACCACTAGCTCGTGGAAGAGGTCCAAATAACCTTTTATAGTAAAAAAGACACACATATAATAGGAGGATGGGATGGGATAATGGGATGGGATGGGATGGGATGCGATGCGATAATGAGATGAGATGGGATGGGATGGGATGGGATGGGACGCACCTGTGTTCTCAACTTTACCGCCACCCGGTTAGCTCAGAAGGTAAGAGCATCGGTCTATAGTGGTTCGTTGAGAACGTGGTTCAAACCTCGGCCAGACAAACACTCAGCGGTTCTTAAAATAACTGAAGAGAAGGTGCTGCCTTTGTAATTACTTTTACAAATGGTTACACCATCAAGTCTTCTCGGACGAGGACTTAAAATCGTTGGCCCCGTCTGTCTTGACTATATAACCCTGTATAAGGCTGACGTAAAAGACCCACTGAAGACGCTAGTGACGACGACCATCTTCAGTTCCCGCCCGTGCTAAACACTACAGGGCCCACTAATTTGCAAAAAGCTGTTGTGATATCCCTGGCCTCATGGGGAAAAGCGAATAGATAACATGAGTGAAGGTTAATTAAGGGCATGGAGTTGTGAGGGAGCGAGAAATGGACATGTAAGAGATGCCTCTTGCCTCTGACCTCGTTACCCACAAAACAAGTCCTGTCAAAATTCTTACGACTCAATTTGTTTTCTTTTACAGACGGCATGACTTGCCACCTTTTGGTTGCTCGATACAAAACACCAGGAAATGTGCCTGGACAGTTTAAGGCTAATGTTTTACTGAGGGGAAGCGCCTAGTGAAAATCGGTCATACTTTGTAATAATCGTAAGAAATGCCTCCTACAGTGTATGAAGAAATCACGTTACTTCGATTATATGATATAACCTTGTAAGTTCATTTATTCAGTATGAACATACCAAAAAAAAGAAAAAAAAAAANAAAAAAAAAAAAAAAAAAAAAAAAAAAAAAAAAGATTCTTGCTATATCATCATATATTGGAACAAGTATATTCATTGCTTGCATCTAGAGACATACATGGTAATGTATTTGTATTTGACCATTGCATTTACTTTTTGTACCTTAAAACACCCCCTTGTCCTTTGCTTCTATTTCTATTGCATTCCCCTCTTTCAACCTTTTTACTTTGTGCAGGTTCGGAAATTTCTCCAGCTCTTTTCCTTTTTGTCATTTATTCTCCCTTAAATTAAATTAAATTAAATGATTAATTTTTCAGTCTAAAGATTTCCACAATTTATTGGGTGTAAAAAAAAAGGTAAATGCAATGTCTCTGTTTTGCTTGAAAAGTGGCGCATTTCTGGTCTTAAATAAATGCAATATATAAAAGACGATTATAAAAACAGATGAAATATATTAATACAATAAATAATGTACAAAGTCGACTATACATGACCATAAACTATATATATAGACATCTCAAAGTTTTTTGTTTTTTGTGTGTTTTTTGCTTGTTTTTTTTCGCTTCATCTTTCTCCTACTAAACCCTCCTTCTTTACTTTCCTTCTCCTTTTCAACTAAGTTGTCTGCATTCCCCGAAAGGGATTACGGGTCAACTATTTTTGGTTAGCATTTTCCTTGGAGGGGCTGAGTACAATATTGATTTCTCGTGTTTAGTGAACCAGATTTTCACGATGAGTTCAACTACTAGAATTTACGATAAATTTAATAAAGAATCATATTTCTTGGGTTCTTGGCAGAATATAATCATGGGAAATGATAATCAAAATATGATGTTGAATTTTCGATTCTGATTGGGTGACCTTGAGAGTTTGTTGTGAAGGTCAACTCAGATGGTTCCTCTTATCTTTACTGAATAACTTATCCAAATCTAAAGTGGTCTTTTACCGTCCATCACATTACCTGCTCTGTGGTAGGCATCAGATTCATTCTCGTACCCAATAGTCTCCCCCACAGCCGCTTTCAGTGTCGTCACGCAACGCTTTCTCCCCTGAGTAGCGGCTGCTTACCCGAGCACAACATTCCTTTCCCATGAATTAACCAATCACGGCTTAGTTCTCGAAAACCAGGAACCATTCGCGCCATATGGAAAACAAGATGCGTCGAAGGCTTCGAGATAGCAGCTAAGAAATTTCGCATCGAACAGTTTAATTATCATCAGAAAGACGCCATACGAAAGATTTTACAAGAAAAACAAGATTTCCTTGAAAATCTGCCTACTGGATAAGGGAAATCGCTCAAAGGAATAAAATATTGTCGCTCTAGAGTATAGCCCAGTAATTTCTTTCGAGACAAGCTAGAGGACTTTTTGAATAACAGGAGTTCGAAGTTCTTGGCATTTCATATAAACTGCTAACGCGACGTTAGAAGGTTGGCCATAAGATAACGCTTTAGCTAACTATTCGTGTTCACTTTTCACGACTTTTCTAACAGTGTGAACAAAACAAAACAACTTTTAACAGTATCAAATTGAGCTAATCCTCGCAGTATACGTGAAGTAAATACCAGAACTGTGAGCGTTACCCAGAAGTTTACAATAAATACAATGAATTTATTAAAAGTACTGTCAGACTTTATATTCGAATTCAATCTCTTAAATCTTGAGTCGTCTCGTTTAATTTCCATGAGTCTAAATTACGCTTTCTAAAAAAGTTTTCCAGTTTCTTTTTGCTTCTAATATTTTGGTACGAGCTCGATAGCAAGTACAAACTCGAATTCACTATCGGCAGATTGAACAATGTCGATAGCTAAACTTATGAAAATATAAATCTTTTCTTTCTTTATGAACAAAAAAAAAACACTTAGTTCCGTCTCCAATAATTTTTTTTGGGCATTAAACATTTAACAAGAACGAATTCAATTTTAATTTCCCAAAGATTTTCTCCAACTTCCACTCTATTGCGTCTTAGAATTATTTCTCTCATGAATGTTTACAAGTTGTCAAATTCGAAACGTTTTGATTGGTTCTTGAAACACAATGACACTTATCTAATTGGTTGAACACAAACAATAGGAAAGGAATGTTGTGCTCGGGTAAGCAGCCGCTACTCAGGGGAGAAAGCGCTGCGTGACGACACTGAAAGCGGCTGTGGGGGAGACTACGTACCCAAAGGCTTCTAACGAAAAATCGAAGGCTCTGGTAACACAAAAATCGACCGTTAATTTGATTGATTCCTGTGTCTGGTTTGCTGATTTTACAGTCAACGGCAAGGGAGCACGTTAAAATTTTGATTGCGTTGGTTTATCTTCGATTCTATCGCACATATCCTAAGATATAGCAGGCGTTCCTTGTAGTTCTTGTTTACGTGCGCGCGCTACATTTCATGGCAGGCGTTCCTTGCTTTAGTCGGGCTAGCGAATTTACTCCGAAAACCGACGAATATCTTGCGAGGAGATCATAAGCCATTCGGATCGGCCGAAACCAGAACACTACGAGGAACGCCTGTCACAAGATGGATTGCGCGCGCTAGATGGATCAACCAAGAACAATGACTTTCCTTACACAAACAAAATTTTAATGCTCCCTTGTCAACGGTTAAAATTTGAATACTTTACCGTACACCGTACTTTACCGTACTTTACCGTATCTCTCGTCTCGCTAAATTGCTTATTTTTCTGAATGCTAAGACAAATAATCTATTCCATAAACAATGTATGAATTAACTTGATTTTTTTTCTTTTGAAGAAAAAAAAAAGAAGGTTTGAATTTATACCGAAGATTAGAATATGTGGAGCATGTGCATATCTGACGACCCTGAATCTGTGTCTTCGGGTTTGTGTGTTACCATGCAGAGCCTTCGATTTTTTGGTGAGAAGGGTCTGGGTACGAGAATGACATCAGATTCGCACATTAAATATTTTTCAATTAAATAAAATCCGGGTCAAGAAACTTTATGAGTAAAACAAGTAAACTATATCTTATGTCGACTTTAAATCCTTACACACGGGCTTTGCTGTACATCCTTATGAGAAAACGATTTTTTTATTGTTCCATGGATCTTTTGGTTTTCCTGTGGTGTGAGCATCCGGTTACGTCCACATTCTATATCTGCCGGCTAAAGCCATTTTATCGGGGTTTTCAGGTTTTTAACTGGTACCCCCGGTACGAAAAGACTTTTTATGTCTGTCAAATGACGATGAGGTAAAACTTTGCAGGCTCGTACTTAAAACAAAAACCAAAACGAAAGCGTTATTATTTATTCGATTTTGACTAGCAGGTCGGTTGAATTCACGGCGCGATAAACCTCTTGCCAGATAGACCTGTTTGACAATGAAAGGAGCACTTGCTACATGGCATCACAGATTCTGACAATTGTTTGTCTTGACTGGTCGATCCAATAAATAAATAATCGCCGGATAAGCAAAGACTAAGAAATTCGTTCAACCTACAAAAATTATTTTTTAGAGGTGTCTCTTATTCATTCACCATGTTTAGTAAAAGCCTTTTTGTCTTGGCTGTAATATTTATCGTTGCTGTTTTTTCTATTTGTGGTGAGTAAAATGTTTTATGTATAAAGATTTTGATTCAAGCTTTTGAAAACAAATAATATTATGGTACTTGTTAATCAAAAGCTCTTGATGGTAAATTTATATCAAACTATTTGTTTTACTTGATATCACGTTAAAATACAGTTATTGTTCACAGCGAAATAAAGAAATCATATTTTTTGAATGCTGTGCCTTTTAACGATAAATTATTATCTAAATTGCATAGAGAATGGATAATTTCCAAGGCACAATTTAATAGCATTTAAAGAGATTCCACAATTTTAGAGTCACGTTGCGACAGTTTGTGTTGTAAACAAGAACATGCGTAATAGGTAAATTACGAGCCTTAGGTGAAACGACTGAAGAAGAAGCTTTTCGCAACTTCAAGTCGCGTAAAAAATGAACCAGCTCAACTAGAAACCGTGGACAGCTGTTTCGGCCTGTATTGGGCCTCGCCATGCAGCAGCGGGTGTATCTAGTGAGCTGGCAATCCCACGAAAAAGTAATACTAAATAACAAGCAGGACGGTTTTAGACAATATAAAATTGCGCTGGAATCGGCCTACTAAACGTAATCCAATTACAAGTCTGCACTTTTAGTATTTTGATGGTTCAAGTAGGGTTTGTTTCTAGGTTCTCTGGTTTTCCTCTAACTAATCTAATCAACTACACGCTAAATCCTCTTTCCATCTGTTAATATTATTGTTGAGTATGTTTATATCAGTATTTCAAATAAATAAATAAATGTTGCAATGTCTTTAATCATGTTTTTTCATAATATTTACTGTATTTTTATATCTTATAACATTAGGATAGCGTTAAATTTTAAAGCATTTTTGAGTCTTTAATGTTTGTAAAGCGCTGTGGAACTAAGGGAATTAGCGCTATATAAAATATGATTTATTATTATTATTATTTATAATTAGCCATGCCCTGGCTTTGATCAGCCCAGAAACTCTTTCAGGGTTTGTTGTTGGGATTGATTTAATTATACTGTATTAGTTAGAAAAATGACTAAATATCTTGGACAAGGAATAAATTATATTCTACTTAATTACAGACGCTCGTTACATAAAGAAGCACTTAAAGCATCATGACAGAAGTTCAAAGAAAAACCGTATCCGTCATGTCCAAGTGAGGCCTGGGAAGAAGCAAATGCTAGGAGGATGTAAGTACGCACACCAAAACACTAGCACGAGGTTTGGTTTTCCTTTTATAATCATATTATTGTCCTAACTGAATCTGTTATAACAGTTTAGCCAGCATTCAGTGTAGATCAGGGTCAATACAATGCAAAACCGCTAATAACAGTAAAATTCTGACTTATTTTATTGTCCCTGCAAACGAGGAAACTTATATTTATTAGCTTAACCTTGAAAACATACATACATGTGATTGTCCGTAAATCATAATGCAAACTTGATAATTCGTGTGCAAAAAAGTAAATAAAATCTAAAAAGTCTTCATACTTTTCTTTGCTAATAAGGTTAGGAAAATAGCACTAGCTAAAGCTGATGTAAACTGAAAAAGCTGACGTGGTTTAATCATCAAATAGATTGCCATTGGGAAGTCTCCTCGCCTAAAATACGTTGCATGGATTTTAAAAACCTTCCTACTCCGATTTTAGTGATTTCCATAAGGATTCAAGTTTAATAAGCGAAAGATAAGCGAAAATAGAAGCACAATAGCAAATATTGATCTACGATCAAATCCTACGTCTTGCAGGTGGATATAAGCTCAGAACTTGATCCTTTTTTCTGCCAAGTAACTAATTGTCTCAAATAGCAAGGAAAACAGTGCGGCAAGCGTACGTACGGAATAAAAAAAAAACAACATAAAACTACTCCAAAACTGAAACATTTCTTTTCGAGTTATTCTTCCGTGCACAGTCACGCAAAACACATTCATATTAATGTTGTACTACCTTTTGTTCTTTGTCATTTACTTTAATTTACAGTCATGATTATAATATTTTTCCATGAACTAGCCTCTACAATAAAACAATCAATTGTATCTCAAGTTTGACATGTGGTTCAAACCCCTTGGTCCTCCCCCTGGATCTGCCACTGTTAATATCAATTTAAAGACGGATTTTAACTTCCTTCTTCAATCACGAATAACCATTCACATTCTCTTCACAGATAGCTCGTTTTTCCCCGTATGCATTCATAAAAGAGTATTTAGATGTTGACTTGTGTATCATTAGCAACACTGCAACTGTTAATAGCAATTTAAAGACGGATTTTAACTTCCTTCTTCAATAACGAGTAACCATTCGCATTCTCTTCACAGATAGCTCGTTTTCCCCCCGTATGCTTTCATAAAAGAGGATTTAGATGTTGACTTGTGTAACATAAGTAAAGCTAGAAATCCCCCGCATCTCTAAGAAACCTTGCAGGGTATTAGGTCAAGTGGAACTTACTAGACGCTAATTTTTTTCTGTTTCATTGGCCTGGCTAAAAATTTATTTGATTTCTTATTTCATCCATGAAAGTACAAGGAGGGTGTTGTGCAAGTGCTCAGGCCGGAATTACCACCGAAGATCCTAATGCCTGCTGTCAATCAGCCTCTCCTCCTCCATGTTGTCAGCAGAGTGTTCAGCTCCAACCTCAGTTCCAACCTCAGTTTCAACCTCAGCTCCAATCTCAGTTCCAACCTCAGTTCCAACCTCAATTGCCACCTCCACTACCATCGATGCCATCTCCAGGATGTTGCTCTCAGGGGGGTGCACCTACGATGGGACAGTCGCCATTCTCTTGCTGTCAATCACCTACTCCTCCTCCATGTTGTCAACAAAGTGCTCAATTCCAAGCTGTACCTCCACCTCCACAACCATCGATGCCATCTCCAGGATGTTGCTCCCAAAATGGTGCACCCATGATGGCGGGTCAGTCGCCCTTTTCTTGCTGTCAATCATCTTCACCGCCTCCATGTTGCAACCAGCCTATGGCAGTTCCACAGTCACCACCAATGTCCATGCCGAGCACTGGCTGCTGCAGCAATGCCCCCTCTCCACCGGACGCCAATGGAGTTTATCTTGGTATAGCACATCCTGATCAGCAATGCTGCCAAGCTGCAAATCCGCCACCGTGCTGTTTTGGTTTACATCTTAAGCCAGGACAAAGCAAGAACATCAGCATGAACGGTGGAGGGAAGAACTATGTGTTAAGTGTACATTTGAGCAACGCAACAAATGTCACAGGTAAAGATTACATGAACATAAAAATGCGGTCGGTCTATGTGGGCCATAGGCCTATGATGATGATGATGATGATGACGATGGTGATGATGATGATGTTGAAGTTGAACATGAACAGGAACATGATGATGATTATGATGATCGATGAGAATGAAGATGAAGATGATCCTGATGATCAAGATGAAGATTGTGATGATAAAGAAAATGATGATATTAAGAAAGGGTCCTGATGGTTGTGATGATGATGGTGATGGTGATGAAGATGGGGATGATGATGATGGTGATGATGATGATGATGATAATGATAATAATGAAGATGATGATCCATATCCATAGTCCCAGCCTATATATCTGCTCAAATCTTAATATCCCATTCCCATTTTTTGATCGTTTTTTCAGTTTTTGAATCCCATTCACAGTGCAAAAAATATAATTTTCCCAGTCCCGATAAGGCCAGCTTCTATTTTCAACCCCATCAGGACCCTCAGCAATAATTTGTGTATTTATATATAACACCATTTTATTTGTTTTCCAATTCTTCTTCTTTTTTCTGTTCTTTATCTAGACAATGCAACAGCTAACCCTTGTAAAATACCAACGTGCGCACCTCCAACGAGTATCCCTACTTCAGGTGCAAGTAGTGCCCCAACAAGTGGTCCTACAAGTGCCTCAACTGGGTCAAGCAACGCAACATCTGGGCCATCTAAGCCATCTTCGGCTCCCACTTCGGGAGTAAGTGGTTCTACAGCAGGTAGTACACCATCTCCTGGTTCCACCTTGGCCCCTGCACCTACCGGTGGACCTTCCGGTGAGGGCAAATATATTTACATTCCTTGATGATCATTCTTATACTATGGCATTATTTAATTAGCACAGTCAAATAGTGTCAAATAGTTCTTCATCACTCGCAACTTAGATCCCTCACCCAATCAAAATATTGTCAAATCCAAAGTAATGTGGGAAAAAGATTTGCTGTACCTCTGACATTTGAGTTTAAAAAAGTCCGAGTAATCGTTTGTAGGTTTAACACACCCATTAGGTATACAAAATAAAAACACTAAGAAAACGAGAAAAGTCAGTATATTGAAAATGGCGAATGTGTAACGTCACATGAAAACTCCCAAGCCGTCACCTTGTGCTGGATTTTGTGTTATTATTTTGTTATCGTTACATAGATCAAGTGCTCCCTTTGAGAGACCAATTGAAATCTAATATTTGCTTTTTACCTTAGGTTCTACCGAGTGTCAGAGCAAAGCTCTTGCCGAACACAACGCTAAACGAACGATCCACAATTCTCCACCGATGACACTCGATCCTCAACTAAACTCAGCGGCCCAAGCGTACGCTGAAAAGCTTGCTAGCTCGAAAACAGTTGAGCACTCACCTCAAAACGAAAGGCAGGGGCAGGGGGAAAATCTCGCCAAGCGATGTTCGAAGCCAGGTAGGTGTTACAGTTCTCGGATATTGTAATAAAGACGTTTTAAATGGTTTTAATTGTGTAGGCTCTGAGGGACGATTAGGCTAGGGTTAGGCGATGACATTTGCTTGGTATCCCATAAAAGAAATTTAACCCCTCTCTCTGTTGCTGCCAAAAATGGTCCCTCCCTTGTTTTCAATTCTGTCTATTTTAATTCTGTACGGCTCGAATATTTTTAATGTGGCCCCTCTCTTGAAGCAAATTTTGTTAATGACCCCCGGACTCGATATCATATGTGAACTTAGTTGTCTCTCTATTGTCCTTAATAATGAAGTTTTCATTACTAAAGCTTTTTTAATATAATGTTTATCACAGACACAGGATTTGATTGTAAGGCTGCCACTGTGATGTGGTATGATGAGGTGAAAAAGTACGACTGGGGATCCCCAGGATATTCTGGTCTCACTGGCCACTTTACACAAGTGGTATGGAAGGCGTCAACTAAACTTGGAATCGGGAAAGCGTCCTTCGTTAATGATGGTAAAGGAAAAAGAAAAAGAAAAAACAACGATAAAAAGGATTGAATGTGTAATGCAATCATCAGTCATTTTAACGCAATAAATAAATCCCCCAAAATCAATGATGATGATGATGATGATGATGATGATGATGGGGATGAGATGATGATGGTAATGATGATGATAATGATGATGATATAATGATGATGATGATATGATGATGATGATGACGACGATTATGATGATGATGACGATGATGATGAAGATGATAATGATTATTATTATAATTTTTTTATTTCCAGCGGGGCTTACGTGTTACGTCATCGTGGGACGCTACAAAGACGCTGGGAACATTAAAGGACAATTTCCTGCTAATGTACAGAAGGGAAGCTATGTTGGACGTCGTTCACAGCTCCTTGAATAACGAATCGTCAAAATTTAGTGCGCATGCACAGACAATACTATGTGGTGCATACTTTCCTAGCCTGCGTTCCTTTTGGTCAGCACCGACCACTGAACAGGAGAATTAATATAGAGTTTGGGTAACGATGTGGTTCATATTCCTTGTCCAGCATAAAACTTCTCAAGCGAACTCTGACTTCTTTTACCTATCGTCCTTTTTACAATGAAATATACTCACTAATACTCATTACCATGGTTCAAACTAGTTTATGTATAATAAGCACATCGAGTGTAAAGATTTGGTTTTTAGAAAACTATTAAACAAGCAAATGTAATATTCAGAGACATGCATTTAAACCACTTCTAGGAGTGCTTTTTGGTGCGAAAACAAGTTTTTTTCTGAATCATATTAAAGTCCATTAAAATGTGGTTAGATTTATCTTTTTAAAGATACTCAAGTAAAATAAAAATCATCATTCTAAAGCTATTTATGTTGTTTTCAGCTGCAATAAAAATCAAGTGTTACCTTGTTTGACGGGATAAAACATGCGCACACACAAGGTCTACTGATTACTTGCTAAGCCCCATGTCAAAAGGAGCCAAAAGAAATTGAATTTGATTGGATGAAAAAGTCAAGCCAATAGTCGTAAATACAGACTGGCGGGAAAAAAAAGGGGGGGGGGGGGGGAACATCGAGATTTAAGAAAAAACAAAAGGAAGAAAGGCTCAGAAAAGAATCGAAAAAATATATAATTGAAAAGATAATAAGATAATATAAATCTAGACATTGTCTAACAGCGGAGCTCCCATTGTTTTAGACACAATTAAAATAAACCTTAAAGGTGAAAATAAAATCGGGAAAATTCTTTAACTATATTTATTTTTCCAGATAAAGGTAAAGTCCCCCATGATGAGACCAGTAAAAAAATCCAATCAAAATTACATCCTCTTCTTCGCGATTCTTTGTTTTCCACCATACTACTTTCCCACTTAGGAATTTTGATATTCGGATATTAATACCCAATTGCTCAAGGCATTCTTAGCTAGCATATGGCAGTTGCGCCTGTAATGAAGAAGCGAAAACCGGGTAAAATTCGCGCGAAATACAATTTGCAACTTCCCAAACATTCTAAATCTCAAAGTTCTCGGTTATCTTTCGCAGATCAGCCAAATATTCGTGCTAAGTGACAAAGAACGCTGATTTCATTAAAGCCGCTGAAATAATATGCATTATTTAAAAAATACATAACTCATTTTGTTATCTTGTATATCCACCACGGCAACTTATCAGTCTTTCTATCTCATAAAGTTCCCCTTCCGTCCTTATTTCACTAATGGCAATATACTTTCTGTTGATAAACTGTTAAGCACGCTATAGAAACATTTTTCTCTTATTTTCTCTTTGTCGTTTTGAAAAATGGAAATCGAACAAAGTGACTGAGCCAATAAGACTAAATTAAGAATTAAATAAGAATTAAAATATAGTGATTGACGTTAGTAACCTGATGACGTATTAAGCTCCTCCCATAGGGATTCGGAATTTCTGGCCATGTTTTTTCTTGGGAAAAAACTCGATAATGTTTTTAATGGACGACTTTTAATGCTATGAATTGCTGGTTAATTTTACTTGAAAAAAGAAAGATAACTACAGATAATCCAATAAAATATCAGGTTAAGTGAAATTTACCTTGGATGTCTTCATCCAAATCTGAATTGTTCATTTTTTAAATTGCAAAACAACACTAAACGGACTTGGACTTATGAAAAAACAACAAAGCAAAATATAAGCTTACAACTACTTCTTTTACATAACGATGTTTGGGTATCCAAAAGTAGAGTTTTATATATAGTACTCGATTAAGAAAAAGTTCCTTTCAATGAAAGTGAAAAAGTTATGGGACGACCGCTCTCGGTACGAGCTCCGGGATCTTTATTCTAGACTCTCTTCTCTGTATTGAACTAATTACATGAGCCCTATTAATAATAACTCTATGACAGGTGTTAGTCTATAATCAATAGGATAATATCGCGCGCTAAAAGGATAAGTAAATTCCTTTGCACGATATTCTATTGATGAGTAATACGAGTGAAAATCTTGGAACTAAACATAGCTCAAACTAAAGTTAATACATGAATATATTGTAAACACAGTGTAAATGAATAGAAAAGGTTACGAGGAAAGTTTCTATCATAAGATTTAAAAGAATAGTTCTAAAATAACTAAGCAAAGGGGTAAAAACTGTGTAAGGCGTAACCAGAGGTGTACATGCTAATGGGAGGAGCTAAGAGGTTTACTTGTGAATTCAATGCATACCATTATCTAAACTTGTGCGTGATGGTAGCCTTGCTGAAATCTTATATCGATATTTTTATATAGCTAATTGATCGTTCTTTATCTTGTTTTCATACGATAAGAAATAGTAATTAGAAAACTGATGTCTAGCTTAGTCTGTAAAAATATAAATTTTCTCTCTCATAACAGTGACATGATTAATTCACATCCAGTGAAAGGACCTTGGGAGCCTAGAATCTTCGAATCATTTCTTAAACCTCATTCATCTATTTTTAATGAAATTTAAAAGTTTCTTTTTATCTATTTTACCTGTTTTTGCAATGAGCAAGCGGTATAACGTTTCGATTATGGAGAAGGTTCTTTCAATGGATGTGAAAAAAGACGTCGCATACACTTATTTCAATAAAGTTAGTCACCAAATAACCTAGAAAGCTGAGATCACTGAGGATCCTGGGTAACTTTTAATATCAAACAAGTAAAACTTTTTTGATACAAACTGCAGCTTAAAGGATGCTCAGGAGAGGTGAGACTGTATTGATAGAAGATGTGCAAGTCCATCAACAGTTATCAAGCGGCTGAAACATGTAAAATATATCTACCCATAATCCTTGTCGGTCTGAGCTTTGTAGCTTTTCAGGTGACTAACGTTATTGAAATAAGTATATCTTGTTGTCTCATTAAGCTCACATCCTGTGAAAGGACCTTTGAAGTTCAAAATCAACTCTTAGCCATATTCGTCCGTTAAATTTCTTTTTATCGATTTGATTGCTATTTTTGGCGATTAAATTAAAGCATATAAATTCCCTATTTTGAAAAAGGTACTTTCAAACATAACTTTTTGATTATTATGCCGTTGTTCTTGGCCTTAGCTTACTAGTTTGTCCCAAAACAATGTTTTTTTTGTGCATTTGCAAGTAGTTTTTCTTTGAAATTGTCACGAGGGGGAGTGGGGGAGTGTAACTTCCCTTTCAGACACATAGATTCTTGTTGCATTTTGTAGGTTTTCTGTTCTCCTTTATTTTGTTTGCAGTAACTGCAACTGCAACTTCAACTTCAACTCCAACTGTAAATGTAACAAACTGCGACTAAAACTTTAACTCCAACTGTAAATGTAACAAACTGCAACTTTAACTTTAACTTCAAC